TTCTAAATATATTTCCAGATGTAGTTTAACACTGGCTCATCCTGAAGCAATCTTACACAAGTTTCTACTAAGACATTTCCAAGTGTAGTCTAACGCGGGCTCATCCAGAAGCAGCCTTACACGGGTTCCTTCTAATACATTTCCGGACGCGGAGTGACGAACTGATTGAACTTTGTTCCAGAGAAGAAAATCCATATGTTGAAGCCAACAAACAGTAACAATATTTGACAGATGCACTAATTCATCCATATTATCGCGCCGCAGCCGAACTCGAGAAACCACACCCAATGGTTTTTTACAATAATAACCTTTTCATCTCCAAATCTGCGGTAAATCAATGAATAAAATTTCTACATCAATTAAAAAGTTAGTAAAATAAAGGTAACCTAAATATTTATTTTTAAGATACAAATTTCCTGAACATTTGTGTATATGTAGGTTTTTCAAAATTCTCCATAAGAGTCATTAACAGACATTTTCTTAAACTATTACATACAATTATCAAATTGAACAAAAGTAAGAACCAAATTAGAATGAAAAATTATTGTACCTGTTCGACAGTAAATATTCAAAAAATAGAATATTAAATTCTCTTACCTGTATAATATAACAACAAAATTCCAGAATAACTTGGTTTAAAATCATACTCAAAATTGTGAAACTAACCGTCTTGAAAGTGCAACATCGTCATAATATTTATGTGCCATCTCCATCAATTAATCAAGTGACTGCAATAAACAAATGATAATCAGGTTATAATGGTGATTGTTCATATATGATATTTTATTCAAAAACATCATTACTGCAAAAACATGTCAAGTCAAACGGAGTTGTATCAAGTATAATACATATGATAGTAGTTCTTAAAGGATGTAGGTAACAACTACTATTATTGAAAATGTAGATGTTGCATTAAGACCTCCATAAAATAATCCAACAACTTTATGTATCACACAGTAGATCAAATTAAATATTGTGAAGGTTAAAAAATATCCTAAAACCCTTTTTCTGTAGAATCATAAAATCCTTGAAAAAAATCTCCAAACAGTTTAAATCAATCAGACCCATATCTAAAATATATAAAGTTAGGTTTTTCTTGCCAAATTTCTTTCTCTACGAACATTATCCCCAACACGTGGAGCATCAGAACTCGCACCACCATGAATCTTCCCCGTTTCGCGTGAGCCAAAACCACCAAACCTGAAACAACAAAAACTAAATCAAAATCAAAATTGAAAGAGAGAAAAGATGAAGAAATCGGAAGCCCAATGAAGTTGGGAGTGAGAAGACGAATAAAAGCATGTAAACAGATGTCCACTGTTTGAAACCCTAAAATCTTAATCCAACTTATGTGCACACCATAAAAACGATTCCCACACCATTCATCTTTCGTTGTGATACCAAAATAACAAAAGAAATACCCAAAGAGGAGGAGAAAAAAGAAGAAGAGCAAGAAGAAGACAAAGATGGAAGCAACATAGATAAAGATACAACAAAGATAGAGTAAGAGAAAAATGAGAGAGAGAAATAGAAAAATAGAAAAAGAACGAGGAGAGAGAGAGAGAGAGAGAGAGAGAGAGAGAGAGAGAGAGAGAGAGAGAGAGAGAGAGAGAGAGAGAGAGAGAGAGAGAGAGAGAGAGAGAGAGAGAGAGAGTGAAGATTCAAAAAACTTTGAAATAAAATTTTGGCAAATCGATGATTGGTATAGTTAGTTTTCAAGTTGATAGACCAATAGTTAGAAAGAAGAAGTAATTGAGTTTGAATAAAGAGGAAAGACAAACTATTTTGGAGGAAACTTTTAGTTTGTTCTCAGTTGTGTAGTTCATTAGTTATGATAAGGGCATGAAAATACCAAGTTTTGTACAATTGTGCTAACGTGTAAAAATTAGTCCAAGGGGTAGCAAAGGTTTTTTCAGAGATTCAATTTTTCTTATATTGTAGATTATTCTATTTTTTTAAAAATAAATTGATTATGTTCAAATAGCATTTCTTTTTCAAACTATAATAAAATCACTTGTTTTCATAAATAAATCAATTTCTCATCAATTAAAATTATTATTTTCACAAAATAAACGTCTCATCAACATCAAATTGGTTTCCAAACTTTCCAGTAACCTTTATTCAATTCCAAACTATTTCCACGTAATCAATTTTCAATGAACGCAAATAAAAAATGCTTGATCAACATCAAGCTCTTTTCAAAATAATTTCACGCTTAAGTAATTTTTTAAATAGATGTGAATAAAACACTTGATCAACATCAAGCTCTTTTCCCGAGTAAGCCATTGTTTCAATCTTTTTTTAATCAAATTGGTCGAAAAAGGATCTCTTGGATGTATATCTCTGTGGATTCCCAATTGTTTGGATACAAGTCATATAGCTTACCATTCAAATACTTGTCTTCCATTTTAAAAACGATAAATAAACGAATTTAGTTCATTTTTTCGCTGATGAAAATGATCTCTTGGATGTTTATCCTTGTGGATCTTTGAGTATTTGGATACGCGACATATAGCTCGTCATTCAAATGTTTGTCTTCTGTTATGGAATTGTGACAAATTTGTCTCATAACTTTTCAAAAATGGATAAAAAAGGTCTCTTGGACATATGTCCATGCGGGTCTTCGAGTATTTCGATATGAGTTGTATAACTCTTTGTTCGAATACTCATCTTCCACCTAAAAATAACTTAACTCATCAAATATCTTTTTTCGTCCTAGCTTGATGTCAAAATATTTTTATAAACGGAAGATGTTCCGTCCATTCCAAGACGATGCAAACTACGTTTTGTTCCTACCACATGCGAATAGTAACATTTTCTGCTCGAATGAGACGAGATTATAAATATGTGAGAATTCAAATTATGTTGTCCATTCTTGATGCGCGCAAATGATCATTTCTCCATGTTTTCGGTAGCAAACAATATTCTCTGTTCGAATGTGACTAAGTACCTTACGCTAAAATCGACCAACCAATGAACATTTGCTACCCAGAACTACGTAGCATTGAATTTTCCATCGCACCTGAGGATACGTAGGAACGAAATTCAACGTCTCCTCAAACACATTAATAAAAAACCTAAAAAATTCTCCTTTGCCCTCATTTTGTAAATATCCCTTAATAAGTAGAAGATCGTAAATAATATCACGCTAACATTCTTTAAAAAAAACTAACTAAATGGTTTCCGTTGAGTACAACAAATGTGAGAGGTGTTAATACATTTCCCTCGCATAACCGACTCCTAAATCCTAATTTAGTTGTGACGACCATATCGTCATTCTTTTAAAGATTTTATCGATATTTTCCCTTTCCTTTTGTGACAAATAAATTTCGGTGGCGACTATGTTGTATTTCGAGCGTTCGTTACGCTCAGGTAATTTTCGCGCTGTGACACTTATGTTTTAAGTATGCCAATTATATATAATGGATAATTTTAATAAACTCTATCTTATTAGATTATTTAAGGATTTATTATGTTTTTGGTCCTTATAAATATCCGAAATTTCATTTTTAGTCCTTATTAAAAAATAATTTTATCGATATTTTCTCTTTCCTTTTGTGACAAATAAATTTCGGTGGCGACTATGTTGTATTTCGAGCGTTCGTTACGCTCAGGTAATTTTCGCGCTGTGACACTTATGTTTTAAGTATGTCAATTATATATAATGGATAATTTTAATAAACTCTACCTTATTAGATTATTTAAAGATTTATTATGTTTTTGGTCCTTATAAATATCTCAAATTTCATTTTTAGTCCTTATTAAAAAATATATATTTTGGTCTTTACAAAAATTTTAGTCATGCAATTTAGTTCCTACTATTCTCAAAACTTTTGAAAACTATTTAATTACCATTAAATTTTTTAATTTTTGAATAATTTTTTTCATACGTATTTAGAATATCATAAAATATTTATTTATCAAATTTTAATTTTTTTTAAAATGAGATGAATTAAATATTAATTTTTAAAATTTCAAAAAATATTGATTTGTAACGAAAACTCAACTTATAAATTAAATTTTGAGTTTCTCTTTTTCGAAAAAAAAATTACAAGGTTCTAAATATATCTGTAAAATTAATAATTCAAAAATACATATCAATTTAACAATAATGATTAAAATTACGTGCATAATAATTTTGCAAAAATTAAAAAATACATTTTTTATAAAAATAAAAAATAAAATTTGATAATTAATAAAGACCATATTTAACACTTAAATGTTATTTGTGTGGGTCATTTGACAAGGATAGAGTTGGGTCGAAGATCAAGAAACTCCTAACTTTGAATTTTTTTGAGAAGAATGTTTTTTATTTATTTATTTTTCAGAAAAAAGAAATGAAAATTTCTTGATGAATTGAGGAAGCTGTAATGATGAGAACAGACATGAAATGCAATGAAATTTCTCTCCATCTCCTTCCTTATCTCTTGTTGATTACAGACTTCATGTACATATCCGAACTATTTACGCCGCCCACCACGGTGATGGTCCGTTTGTAATTAGTACAACAAATAATAGATAATACATGGTGGACAGATAAAATTACCTTTTGTTTGGTAGTAGCCACGTTTTGGCATTAATTACAAGTATTTTATAATTTAAAAAGTGGTCATAAGAAAGGACGTTGAAATTCATAGATGAGTACCACTAATTACCTCAGATTTAGATTGATCTAGATTACTAACTTAGACAAGTTGATTGTTATGAAGAAAAAAACAAAATAAGATCGCATCAGCATTACATAAGAAACCCACGTCATGTTTACCTTTTACAAGCCAAGCCAAAGTTGTATTTATCATTATATGTGGAAAATTTTAAAATCATGTTTTCACATTTCAACATCATATACCCTCCTTCCTAATATTTTCCATTCATTTTCATCCCACTTTCCTAGCAAAACCATACCCTTTTTTTCCACCAATATATTTCACCAAATCTTGACACAATCCTACATCAACAACAACACAAACAAGATCCTTAAACACTACACTAAATTAGCAATGAGTGATGTTGTTGTTTCTTCCAAGAAGAAGTTGCTCATTAAGGAGCTTCTTCAGGGTCAAGAGTATGCTACTCAGCTGAAGTTTCTGCTTAAGAATCATGTTGGTTTAGGTTCTGATGGGTCTGCTTCGGTTAAGGAATTGGCAGCTAATGTGCTGAGATCTTTCTCTCAGACTATTTCTGTGATGACTTCTGACGGTTGTAATTTTGATGAGGTAGAAGAAACTGGTTCTTTGGTGTTTGCTTTATGTAATGATGATGTGAAATCTGAAGATTCAAGTGAGAGTAAGAAGAGATTGTTGTCTAACACAAAAGATAGAAGAGGTTCCTACAAAAGAAGGTATTTTTTCTCTTTTCTTTTCAGAGATTACTCTAAATTTGCCACAATTTAACTATGGTAAAATAAATATGACAAATATTTTATGATACAACTGATAAAAGGGTGAGATTTTAATGCTTTCTTGGTAGAAAAGACTTTTTTTTTTTTTTAGTTATTTGGGTGAATTTTGATGAACTGGGATATGTACGGACAGAAGGAGAAACATGTTGTTTTACATGGATAGAATTAAAACATGTTATTTTCATATGTAGACTTTTTGTCTTGTATTTTAAAATTTTCATTTTGCACTTGTCACATGATGTAATAGAAAGAAAATTCATGTTTACCCTAAATTATTGAGCAGGAAGACTGATGAGACAAGAACTATTGTTTCTAAAACAACTGGTGACATTCATTCCTGGAGAAAGTACGGACAGAAGGAAATCCTCAATTCTCAATTTCCTAGGTAATGATTTGTTTTCCCATAAAGTTTTGTCGGTGTATTTTAATCAAATCATAAGGTTAAAATTAGAACAAAAAGTCACATTACTAGGTGTATATTCAAATTTAACATAGATTCTTTTGATTAATTTTTTCGGGTTTTTGAAAAACTTGTCTTCTAAGAAACCTTTTTACTGATAATTTGCAGGAGCTACTTTAGATGTACCCGGAAGCATGATCAAGGTTGCAGAGCAACCAAACAGGTACAATTGATACAAGAGAATCCAGAAACATACCAAATTACCTACATTGGGTTTCACACATGCAATGCCGCTCTACATACTCCACAAATGGTCACATTTTCTGCAGATACCAATTGGGACACATTTCTTGTGAATTCTCAACCACAATCAGAGGAAGTTCTAACAAATTATATTCAACAGGGTTCCCCTATTGTTAGCTCAGAAAGACCAATTGTGAAACAAGAGTATCTGATCAATGACGACATTACTACTACTCCGAGGAGTGTTCTCGCGGACGATTTATTCGATGCTAACTTGTGGTCTGATTTTAAGGATTTTGAACTATCCAAGCCAGATACTAGTGTGTATTCATGTAGTGAATCTCAAAACCTTGAAATTGGTTTTGGGGTGTTTTCTGATTTCAGCAATGATTTAGTGTATTTTGATGAAAGGCATTTGCTATAATTAGTTAGCCTTTTGAGTGCATTGTTTAGATTTTGCTTGTGGTTGTAACAGAATCACTTAATTATGTAGAATAGCTTCTTTCTACAATGTGCTTTAGAAAGATTGTATTTAGATGTTTGTGTAGATGTTTGTATGTATGTATGTAACTATGCACAAGTTGCTTTTGTTTTTATGGATCTTTGTATGTGTACGATGAACTCGTTAATGGCCTAAGAGAAAAAGTAATGAACTTCAAGGTTGTGGGACATGTATCCAATGATTCAAACTTTTAGTGGGGGGACTAAACAGGACTGTGATAGAGTATTATGAGAAACCAACACTTGACAATTGGTCCACATAATATTGTCATGTTTAGTTAAAAGACAGAGAATGATTTGAGCAAGTTGGATACAAATTATACCACCTTAGCTATTGGTGTGTGGAATCCAAGGACATGCCTCTCAAGAGGGAAATGAATTAAGGCCAAGGGAAATGAAACTTTGAAAACCGAATTTAATGTCAAATGTCATTTGGTTTTTGTGTTCATTTTTGAAAGTAAGTGAGATATCATAGATAAATACACATGATATTTTATATTGAAATAACACATCTGATCAAATAATAATAGGTAAAATTAAAAAATATATGTATATTGAATTTATTTTAAGATAGAACAAAAACTAATATAAAAGATTTTTAAAAAATAAAAGATAGTGAACACGAGCGATCTTTGTTAACGCAATTCAGTCAATTATATCTATTTTGCGATTACAGAGCAATTATAGTTATCTTGATTTCTTTCTAATAATCATGATTTATTAGAGTTACAGTATTACAAACAATATATATAATATTTGGGCTCAATTTACAATAATATCTCTGAAGTTCCTGCACATCACAGTTACATACTCACAATAAATAGTCGGGCCTAAGACTCATTTAGAGTTTTCACATATACTCAACAATCTCCTCCTTGGAGAATATCAAACCCCTATGAAGACTTTCTGCAAGACAATCACATCCTAAAAACTAGGAAGGTATGCCTTCTGCTTACAATAGAGAAACGTATAACAAGTCCAAGCAATGCTTGAATTTGTTACCGAAGATTGACTTGTTCAATATATTTGTTGTGAAAAAGGATGTCTTAGAAACAAAATATAATAGGTTTCTTTGTTAGAGGGAAACCTTCAAGGGTAGAAAAAAGATGATAAACAAGATTAACAACAAGGATTGATTATATCTGCTATTCTTTACTCTCTCTTCAAATCGGATTACAAGTACACAAGAATAGCAAATAACCCTCTCACCCTAAATTAGGATTTGCAATATGCAATGTTGAGAGACTAGTATGCTATTTATAATAAACCTAACATACTAAATTAATGGGCTTTTTCACAAATACTCATTACAAGCTAACTTAGGATACAATCTAACTTAAACAATTGGACATAACAAACATGCCCAATTCGAAATACTAACAACCCTAGCATTTCAACATCCACATACTAGAACACACTACGACTATAGCATATAGGTCTTCGACACCAGCATGTGAACATACTTCGACGACATACATAAATTATGTCGAACCAGATGCTACTCTTCGACCTAATAGATTTCGGTTCAATATCTTGCTCCTGAATGTGATGGACACCTTGCAGGCCCCCAAGGATCAGCATGGATGTAATCAAGGGATCCATGTATTCTTTGTTTGCCTTTGTTGAACTTCACTCTACAAGATTTTCCAAGTACACAGGGTTCACAAAATTTCAACTTTTCGACTATGTCTCTACCAAGCAAATTTTGTTTTCCTAATTCGACCAGACCCCTTTCACTGACATGACCTAATCTCATGTGCCAAATTTATGTGTTCGATAAAGGTTTCGTGGATGCAATATTTCTCGAACCACTTAAAACCTAAAAGGTATACAAGCCTTGCTTCTTCACGCCTCTCAAGACTTCATTCGGCTTCTTCATGACTCTTAGGACACTTTTTTCTCCTTAGAAAACATATCCTTTCTTGTCGAATTCACCAAGAGAAATCATATTTCTCTTCAAATCAGGTACATACCTGACTTCAATCAACAATTTTATTGACTCACCACAGAGCTTGAATCTCATTGATACAACACCTGCAATCTTGCAAGCTTTGTTATTTCCCAGCAATACAGATCCACCATCTTGATCACATAGCTCTTTGAACAAGTCTTTATTTGGAGTCATGTTCCAAGTACACTCAGAATCCATAATCCACTCCTTCTACGGGTTACTGCTTGAAACCATAAGAACATCAGATGAGTCGAAATCATCTTGAACAATAGTTGGGTTGCAATTATCCTTTCCTCAATGATCTTTCAGGCGTTCAGGGCACACCTTTCTTGTGTGACTCTCCTTCTTACAATGATAGTATCTAATACCATATGCTTCGCCACTGTAAGACTTCTGACTTTTACCTTTCTTCTTGTCAAACTTACCATCCTTTCGCAAGAATTTTCCCTTAACGGCCAAACCTTCACCAACCGTCAAATGTTTATGTTTCTTTCGTTTGTTCAAGTCCTTAGAATACAAGGCTGATTGAACTTCTTCAAGGGTTAGGGACTCCCTTCCATACAAGAGAGTTTCTTTGACGTGATCATGTGTTCTGGGAAAAGCGCACAATAGAAACAATGCTTGATCTTCATCATCGATCTTCACATCAATATTTTCAAGATCAAGAATCAACTTGTTAAACATATCCAACTGCCCAACGAACACTTTGTCTTCAATCATCTTGAATAAATACAAAGCTTGCTTCCGGTAGAGTCGATTTACCCGCGATTTGGTCATGTACAAGCTTTCAAGTTTAACCCATAACCCTGATGTCGTCGTCTCCTTTGATACCTGTCGAAGAACCTTATCACCAAGGCTCAACAAGATTGCGATGTGGGCTTTCTCTATCATGGCCATCTTTTCTTTTTCCGTTAACGTAACATCCATGACCGCCGCTCCCTTTAACGCTTCCAAACAACCCTGCTGAACCAGTAGGGCTTTCATCTTCAAGCGCCACAAACCGAAATCGTTCACTCCGGTGAACTTTTCAATCTCATACTTTGTTGAAGGTATCTTCTCCATGCTCACCGCATCAATTTGTTGTGAAAAAGAATGCCTTGGAAACAAAATACAATAGGTTTCCTTATTAGAGGGAAACCTTCAAGAGTAAAAAAAAAGATGATAAACAAGATTAACAACAAGGATTGGTTAAAACTTCTATTCTTTAATTTCTCTTCAAATCAGATTACAAGTATATAAGAATAACAAATAACTCCCTCACCCTAAATTAGGATTTGCAGTATGCAATGATAAGAGACTAGTATGCTATTTATAATAAATCTAACATACTAAACTAATGGGATTTTTCACAAATATCCATTACAAGCTAACTTAGGATACGAGCTAACTTAAATAATTGGACATAACAAACATGCCCAATTAGAAATACTAACAACCCTAGCATTTCGACACCCACATACTAGAACACACTTCGACTACAGTATGTAGGTCTTCGACATCAACATGTAAACATACTTCGACGACATGCATAAATCCTGTCGAAACTAAAGCTACTCTTCGACCCAATAGAGTTTGATCTAATATCTCACAATATTAACTACATTGTCTTAAGTATGAACTGTTTTAAGTAATATCTTCCAAATGCAATTAACTCTCTAATCTTGTGAAACATCACATCAACAAAGCTTGGTCTTAGCATGATACACCTGATTGTTTACTAAATAAATGACACTTTGATTATCACAATGCAATAAAACTTAACCTAACTCAATACATAATTCTCTCACCAAACATGTACGTCATAAGGCATCTTTGATAGCTTTACTTGTCGATGTGAACTATGCTTTAATTGTCAACATGACCAATATGGATTGAACTGGTAATTTTCAACAAATAAGTCTCCGGATAAAGTAAAGACATACCTTATTGTAGATCTACTATCATCGATACCACATTATAGTCTGAATCAACATATCCTATAATTGAAGGATCTCCTCGTTCACTGCTAAACATGATACCATAACTCGTTGTACTCTTCAAGTACCTGAAAATCCACTTGATTTCACCCCAATAATGCTTGAATGATTTAGACATAACTTACAAACTTGACTTACAAATTGTGCCAAATATAGTCTAGTGTGGACCATAACATTCACTAAATAACCAACAACATTGATATAAGGAACCTTTGACATACACTTAGCTTATGCACATGTCTTTGAACACTGATCGAATGAGACCTTAAAGTGATTCACCAATGGAGTATGCATAATATTTGAATCACTCATGTCAAACTTCTGTAATAGATTTTCAACATAGCTTTTCCTGAGAGAGCCATAATTTTGCAGCACTTTTATCCCTGTGAATTTCCATACCAAGAATCTTTTTAACAACACCTAAGTATTTCATGTCAAACTCCTTTTACAACATGATTTTCAATTCATTTACATCACGTAAATGATTTTAAACAATCAAAATATCATCAACATATAATAACTTGAAATAAAAGAGCCATCAACAAGGCTCATAACATTAAAATAACAGCCATACTCACACTTTTTGTAGCCAATCTAAAGCATGTACGAATCAAATCACTTGTATAATTGCCTTGGAGACTTATTTAAACCATATAATGACCTCTTCAATTTACAAACTAGTCTGTCATATATAGTTTCACTCAACCACTCTAACTACTCCATGTAAACTTTATCATCTAGATTATCGTGAGGAAGTGTTGCTTTTATACTCATCTGCTCTAAATGCATGTCTTAAATGGCTACCAAGGCTAACATGACCTTGATAAAAGTATGCCTGGTGATCTGAGAGAAAATCTTATCATATTCAATCCCCCTTCTATTGTGAGTACCCCTTTGCTAGAAAACGAGCCTTGAAATTTTACCTTTCTTTTTCTGTTACTGATGGTTTTCTCTTGAATATCCACTTACAACTCATGACATTTTCCCCTTAGGAAG